TAAACTGACAGCTGAATATTGATGATGGGGAGCGTCATGTATTTTAATCATATGCTGCCTGTGACAAAGCCGTCTTCGTATGGCTGGTTTGTCTCAAAAGCAATCCAGTTTCAAAATACAGCGTTTTTGTGGCTAGGTAGTACAATACACAGCCTGAATCTAAAAACTAAATCGTCGTATGGGAGGGGTTCAGTTTCAGGCTGTGCCTTATCCAGGCTGCATGCTTGCCAGAAGAGGTTTATTTTCCTGCGTGTTCCGTCTTTTCTTTATGCTCTATCTAGCGATTCCAAGGCTGATACATCATAGTAATTTGTAGATTTTTATTTAGAAAACTTCCTTGCCCTCATTTCTCTGTTAGCGCTGTGGTGGTAAGGGGTGAGACGAGGGCATATAGCTGGGGCAGGGCAGGAGGGCCAGCTGGGGCCAGTTTAGAGGCAGCCTTCAGAGAGCCTTAGTTAGCTGAATGTAACATTGCAGCCTGACAAAGTAAGCTTCTTGTTACCTACATGGCAAAGGAATTAGAGGTACCTTTTGGAACAATGCCACTTTTCTTTCATGAATTTGTAAATGTAATTTCAGAAAGCACTTTTGGTCTTTGTTGTCACGCTTTCCAGGATTTCCTTCACCTTTCTGTGAAAATGCTTGCTCTCAAATTCTTCTTTAATGGAAAATTGAAAATATAGAAACACACGTTAGGATAAAATGTCCCTGCAAATCTTAGAATAAATATTCTTTTGGGATGCTTTTATATATATCTGTTTGTATGTATATTCAGTGCAGAATGGCTATAGCTGATATAATAAGAAGTGTGACCCCCGGATGCTGAATGCACGCAATGGATTTACATAGCTGTCAGTTAAGTGGAGTGGTATTTGGACTGCTGCACATTTTCTTTGAGCTCGAAGACTTACATTTCAGGCAACCATGCACTTGATTAAGTTTAGAATATTATACAACAAGGAAACTAATTTCATAGAAAGCTCAGACCAGCATGTCGTTTGTCTTCGGTAGCTGGTTGAGTCAGCAACAAACCTTGAAAATATGCAGCCTGCCTCCTTTAGCCTAAGCATTTGACAGAATACTTCTAAAACGTTGATTTAAAGCCGTGATATTCATATGTCTTAAGATCTGTCTTGACTGATGAAAATTTATGTATAGTGACTGTTGTACATGGCGTTTCCTTTGCAGAAGCTGTTGACTTTGTCACGGATTCATCAGTTAACATATTTTCCTACAGTATTTGCATCTCTAGAAATACCTGTGGCTTCACATGATGCTTAAGAGGGAATGAGTTAACTGTGTTTCTAGCCTCAAGGATTAATACGGAGGCTGGGGAAGCAAAACTACAAAAATACACTTAAATTTGTCTGTGTTATCCTTGCTGCACTGCCTTGTGTGGTGTTTGAATTTCCCGAGTACATCTTTTGATTTTTGTGCTGCGATAATGAGTTAATCTGATTCTTTTCCCTTTAGTACAAGTGAAGGAGGAACCTGACTTTGATCTGTATTCCTGGCCACGCTACTCCTGCATGCTGAAAGCTCTCGTGGACTGGGCTGAGAGACTTTTCATATGGGTCAGAAAAGAGTTAGGAGTAACGCTGGGAGGATTAACTTGATTAACTGCAGTGAAGACAAAATACAAGGCACACACTGTGTTAAAATATTAGCTTACACTGGGTTGCTAGCACATGCTATGTACATGGTTCCAGTGCAAATATTTCCAGTGTAAGTCACTGTTTCTAGTCATAATTCTCTGAAGGATCTGTTAAATACTTTGCTCAGTACTAATTAAGGCTTATCTGAGTATGGGCTTTGGAACAGTTCACAGTGCACACAGTTCTGTTAATTTTTTTTTAATAGAAGTAGCAATTTTGACAAGCTGAGAAGTGCTGGATGAGAGACAGTGAGTTCTCGGAGATTGTCATGGAAGCACTTGTATAGCTAGGAGCCCTGTAATGATGATCAAGCATGTATCAGAAATTTGAGTGTGTTCTGATCTTGTAATTATAGTCAACTTTCTAATTCCATACATACAAAGGGGCAGAACTCTGCTGCTTCAGATGGGTGAATTTTGGCATTCCCTAACTTTTCAGTACTTAATTTAAAATCGTTAAGTAACATTTAGTTATATAGTCTTTCGATCATTGTGATGACTGACATAAATACTGTCCTGTTGATCTTTATTTTAATAATAAGCTGATACGTTTCCTAGATCTATGTAAGGTTGCCAGGACATTAAATAAGTGGGACAAGGTGTGTATTTCTTCCTACTGACTGTGACTAGTTTTCTGTTCACCTTGATTTCCTCCCTTGTACTCTGTAGAGTTCTCTGAAACTTGTACTAATTGTGATCTCCGAAGCAGAATCCAAAAAAATCCAACCACTACTTGTCTCTGAAGCTCCTTCTGAAAATTGAGTCATAGACGTTACATTTTAAGCCAGCAGAATGTTTGATCATTCTACTTTTGACTGCCTTTAAAATTCTAGTTGCCATAACAACTTTATTTCTTTATTTTTAGCACATCAGTTGCCATAACAATAAAATATAGCTTTTTGAATGTAACCATTTTTTCCTCATCTTTTTTGCTTTGTTTTATAAAGAACCTTCTCAAGGAGGGGAAGGAAATGTAGCAAAGCTCTTCCCCTCTGAGAACTTTGGTTAGAAAGTAAGCTGAAAAATATTTTTTTTTTTTAATCTAGCTTTATTCCATTCCTGTGGCAGAGTTTTGACTACTGAGTATTTTCATAACTTATGCAGAAAAATGAATGCAAATCTCTGTATAAAGCCTTTCTTTTGTTGAAAATTGCTGTTGGGATTTTATTTTTATGTGTTGTAGTTAGTGTATTAGAAAACCATAGCTGTTGGAGGGTCGTTTCCAGTATCTTTATTTCATTATATAGAATGGCTATAAATAAGGTATAGGCAACTCCTACTGATAGGGGAAGCGTTTTTCTTTATGCTTTTGAAAGCTGTCCCTCTTCCTGTTTGTTTGGTTGTTTTCTTTTTCCTTGCGGTAGGATTGCTTTAAAGATTACTGTGTAAGTTTTGCAGTGAGTAACTCCAGTTTTGCAATGTTGTTCTTTACCTTATCTTTCATTAAAAGTATGAGAACAAATTATGCTCAGTTTGTTCCCGCAGCAGACATTACAGACGTGCTGGGAAGAAGGGTGTTCAGGAACCACGCTGTGTGCCTTTTCAAGCCAAATTAATTCTCGTGGCCATATAAAAATGATGGCCACCAGCGTCCTACGTAAATATAGCAGGTAGGACCCAGGGCTTCCATTTCTTTCCGTATGGCCCTTCCCAGGCACATGGTCAGTTAGTCAGAGGCCAGTATTTAGTCCAGTGTGTTGATACGCCGAGTTTTGGGCAGTTATATGTGATACATCTTAAAAATACATGAATGAAGAGATTGACATTTAGCTTCAAGCCATCATTTTGAGCAGAGGTGAAAGGTTTACGTGTGAATTTCATATTGGTGAAAGAAGTTGGACTTGGACTTTTAATCTGTAGACTTGACTTCTGTATTCCCAAATAGTGTCCTTTCCAAAAGGACATGTAAATCTCAAAAATGCTGTCTTTATATTTAACCTATTTTTAGGCTGATAAAGTATATGTTTCATTTCAGTTTCTTCTTAGAGATGGCAAATAATGTCAGGTTTGATATTTCTTTTTGAAAAAAGAAAATAATTTCTCAGCTCACATAACATTTTACATGTGCCAATTTCTAGCTATAAATATAAATGTCCTCATTATCTGATACAACCAAAGTAATTTAAGACAGAATTTGCTAGTTATTGGAAGTTGAATGTATTTAGATGTTATTAATCTTGAATCATAGTTATCAGATGTGAGATGAGTTTATAAATTTTAATTAGCTAATTTTTAACTCGGGGCAGGGGGGTGGAGGGGGGAATAAAAACCACTAATTCTTGCTTTCAGGGGCATTTTCCAAACATCTGTCATTGCTGGGTTCCATGGCTGTGAGTTAGCCAGGAGTCTACCTCAACTGCTATTGTTTGCAAAAATTTCCCTCTAGGCCACTCTTGGTAGGAAGCTATTCCTGATTCTTTCTCATACATGGTTATTGATGCAAGCGTGTGCTGATAGACTCCATGCTGTAAGAGAATATAAGTGATACCTCTTCAGCAGTTCCAGCTGGGAGGAAAATTTGGTCTAAATGAAGCTGAGCTTAAAATCCATAAAAAGAAATTGTGCCACGCTTCAGTTTATAAATAGTTTTCATGCCATATCCTTTCCATGTTCATCTTTTCCATTTCTTCACAGAAGTGGTAGAGTAGTAATACTGAGTAACACTTTGTTTAAAGAGAGTCTTCTAAAATTCACAATTTCCTTCGATTGTTTTCAGCTTGATTGTTCTCAAGAAATAGTGGAATTGGATTTACTAGTCCAAATTTGGGGTCAGTACCACTTGCTCCTCAGTAGATCTTGAGCTAAAACAAACAGTAAATCTTTAGTCCTTAACTGATTTTTGTCTACACCAACAGTTGAAGCTGTGACTTACTCTCCTAAATGATCCTAGTTGTTCTGTGTTTTTCTGAGCCACCTCTTGTCTCCTGGGGAAGTACTATTTTTACAACTCTATTAAAGGAAAAGTTTAGGGTGGAATGTGCCAATTATATACGCAAATAAGAAATAAATTGCCCATGTGACTAGGCACACGTTTCCAGCCAGCCCGTCTAGATTAGACTAGATGCTCTGGGAGAATGTACTGTGACCATTTAACCGAAGCCGCAGCCATGAAAAGTGAATTTGAATCTGTTTCTGACATGCCTCTGTGAATTTGTCACATAATGGTAGCTGCCAGTTCACAGCATTTAGAAAAGAGAATTAGACTGAAGCGGGTAATTCTGAAGGTTTTAAATTATTTTTGAGAAGAAGATAAATTATGCACATGAATGTTCTCTGTGTTGTAGCTTTCAGCACAGATTAAAAGTAAGTTGCCAAAGGTTACGGTGAGGAGTTTTTTGCCATACAGGTTTGCCGTTGTGACATTCCGAAGTATGGTGCTGAGGTGGAGAAGGATTTGGAGGCGCATGGAGCATTGGTCATACGGCAGTTGATGGATGTGTGGCGTTGGCATTGAGTTCTGAGGAATGCTTTGAGGATGAAGTCGAGGTGATGCTCGGGGGAGAATTTGAAGAAATAATACTGGGCACAACTTGGGTGGGTTGGTTGGTTTGTTTTTAAAAGGCAATGAAGAATGAAAGTTACATTTGCATGCACTTCAACTTTATTCTTTGATGGATCCAAACTTGTGATTTTGATTTTGAAAGACTGACAGATGTATATGGTTTTGATCCTTGTGTTCGTATCTTACTAGTTGCTTTTGCACAGGCCTTAGAAGTTGGCTTCCTAATCAAGGCTACAATAAATTATTCATCATTTGAACTCGTTACATCAAAATTGCTTGCCTTTTAAAAGGTCATGCTGTAGTTTAAGAGAACTCTTTGGCTTGCAGTGTGTGAAAAATCAAAGTAGGTGACCACAGTGTTTGTGATTTTTTTTTTTTTTTTTTTTTTTTTGGTAGCCCTAAAATCTCTTATTCTACCTCTACTGAAACAGAATTACTGCTGACACCAAGGGAGCTTATGCTTCTGCCAAGTCAGCTGGAATCCTTTTGAACATGCGCTTTCTTGGTGCCCAGTTTTGATAGGCTTTTAGAATACCAGTATCTGTGGAATGTAATTCCTGGCTTGACATGGACAAAAGTATCAGTAAAAACACAACTATGTCAAAACATCCCTCTAAAAAGTTTAAATGAACACGGTATTAAAATAATCTTTTAAGTACTGTTTTGAAATATGAAAAATTATTTCCACAGGAAAAGAAAGAGTAATATTACCAGCACTCCTCAGACTATTCTCTACATTTCAGTATTTCTTCATTTGCAGTTCTCTTAATTGCTGTCTTTCGTCCTGTGATTTAACAGGTGAAAATTTTAATTGTCTCTTGAAAGCAGTGTAATTAATAGCTAGTTCACTTCCATTCACTCTACTGCACTTCCATGCAGAGAAACTATGCATTATGTTAGGACAGCAGCATGGATAGGGCATGGGTTTGTTATGGTACTTGAAATGCAGAGGGACAATTTTGAACAAAATGCATGTTCTTTTAGATTGTCAGTATGCTTTCACAAATCACCAGCTAAACATTAGTCTCGTAATCAAAAGCAGGAGCTAAAGGAAAAGCAATGCAAGTAACAGGGCTCTCCGTCGGGATGCCTGAAGCAGTGGTAGGAAGTAAGCCTGTATTCTTTTGCTGGTATACCTTTTTGGTTTTAAACTACTGCTAGTTTAAGAGCAGGTGGATTAGTTTTACTGGCAGATGCATGAAACTCTCTGAGGGCACATGTTTAATTGTTTGCTTTTCATACCTTCCTAAGACATTTTTCTTGGTTTTCTAATGTCCGTTTTCGTTCATTCTGGAGCATTTCTTATCATCTGTGGTCAGTTAGTAAATAGCATCCTTCCGTAGCTTAAGTACTGTTTGTTTAAAGCAAATGCTATGTTTAATTCCTGAAAAATGCCTAATTATCACCATTAATTAGTCTTCACAGCATTTCCCTGAAGTAAATTCCCTTCTTGATAGATAGTTTATTACACGGTGTTTCATTACTATTGATTCGAGGCACAGAAGTTTGGTGGTATTTGTTGCTCCGACTTGAGCCTGTAAAGTGAATTCCATTTGTCATAGGAGCATCGATATAATCTTGAGGGAAGCTCCTCCTGAAGAAAAATGTTCTTTGATGTAAAAATCAGAAAAGTAACCATCTAATCCATGAGATCGCAGGTAGTAATGTGTAAAGGGAGATTGTAGCAATTTACTCCAAAAACTTGCTTAATATTTATTAAATACATGAATAACATTAGTAGCTAATTTAAAAGTTTCAAACGTTAGAAGTGTTCAATGTAATTGCTGAATAACAGCGTGACAGGACTGCACAATAAACTTGAAAATGTAAATGCCCATCTTTTTCTGCTGATCCACCACAACACATGGAAAAAACCTGTTTTTTGCCAATTTCTTGTTCTGCATCACAGCATCCTAATTACCTAACATTTACATGATACTGGCTAATATTTGCCTCATTGGAAGCAGCATTGGAAAAGGGCTGGAGCTGTGAGTCCAGCAGAGGAGCAGGCTGAAGCAGAGCCTGCTGGAGTAGCAGTAAAAGGAGAAGGGATCATTAGCTCCCTTCCACATCCCTCACATGCCTTGACCTTTTAGAAAGTTACTGTACCTTTCCAGCCTCTCACCTGAACTCCCCCTACCCTCCACTCCAAATTGTATGAGCCCCTTCCTTCTTCCCACCTTACAGAACCTGCTCTGCTGCTGTTACCAAATCCAATTTCGCCTCTAATGTGGGAAAAGGCTTATATGGGCTTTGGGGATTTTTTTTTTTTTCCTGTAACAATGAGGTAAGTGCTCCACAAGAGCATCTGCATTTAAAAAATGTAGCTGTGTAACTCGTATCACTTGATCTTCTTTGCAGTCACAGGGGTATGTGGGCGATAGCATTGTAAAATGATTTATGGCATTCTTTACCATCATGGGGTGGGAGAGAAAAGGAAAGGAAACGGATCTGTGATGGCAAAACTGATAAATGAGACTATCAGGTGGAGAAATACTTCACAGGTTTAAACTTTCTACAAGATACGGTAGCTTCCTTGAGAACTAACACTTTTGGGTTTCTACTGCTGGCCCAAGTGTGTTTAGTCTTGATGAGGATGAAGACAAACCACAAGAAGAAGAATTTGGAGCTGATACTGGGAGTCACAGTGAGAGTGGTCAGACATTGGAACAGAGGCCCATGCAAGCTGTGAAAACTCCATCCTTGGAGATGTCCACAGCTCAGCTGGATGTAGGACCCAGCACAACCTGGCCTAAATTTGGCATTGGACCTGACTTTAAAGCTGGTCCTGCTTTGAGCAGGGTGTTGGACCAGATGATATCCAGAGGTGCCTTCCAACATAAAGTGCTTAAGAAGTCTAACATTGTTCTGAGAAAAAATAATGGTTTTATACATAGCTATGTGTACCTCTTATATCTTACGTTATATGCCTGTACTCAGGTGAAAATTCCTGTGTGTTCTGTGTAAGCCAGAGCTCTTCACGGCAGTTTTTAAAATAGACAACTGTAGTGGGTGGATTTTTGGAAGAGGCTTTATATTTGAAATAACAAATAAAATTGATTTCTGCCTTAAGTACAGTGCCAATATGACTTCAGAGAGCAACTTCAAATGCTAGTCTGATGTAAAAAAAACAAACAAAAAAATCCCCACAAACAAAAACCCAACCATGTTCACACATACAAAATTTAAGGCAACTACTGATTTTTCTTCCTCCTCTCCCTCTTCAAGCTGTAGGACAAGCTGCAAGCTTTATAGAACAGAATTTTTCAGGAGGCATTAAAAACAAAACCAGCGTATCCATATGATGTGGTGGACAAGTAAGTGCCAGAGGTAGTTAAGATAAAACAAACTAAAGAACCACCTTTGTTCTCTAGGCTAAGGAGAAAGTGGATAAAAGAAAATAATACTTAAATGAAAAAAAAAAAAAGAGTTGGGCAGAAGAAGAGAAGGAGGTGATATGTATAGCATCATTGTCATTGAGGTCTGCATCTAAGTAAATAACTACTAAGTTCCTCATCCCACACTCTCAGCTGCATCTCCCTGCTCTAATCAAGGTCTTTTAAAAAGATTTTACAGAAATTATTGTTGTCCATTTAATCCAGCTGACCATCCAATATTTTAACAAAGAGAGTCCTGAAAGACTTCAAACTAGAAATGAGTGGTGCGACTTGAGATGCTGCTTTGTGCACTGCAGGAATTGCTTCTGTCAGTCCTGTTGTTGCCTTACCAAAAAAGATTTAGAAAAAGAATATTCCTAATCCTTCTGAAGAGAAGAAATGAGTAATAGATTTTTTCCTTGCTTGGAGCTTCTGTATCTGCCTCTGTATGGACTTTTTCTGTCTAAGCAGCTTTCTGTGGTTCCCTTACAGGGTCGCACACATCACCACTGCTTTCACAGGCTTTCTTTTGTCAGACAAAGCTCGAGCTCCTACCACATCTCCTCTTTTCTCAGCAGGATCAGATGGTGTGAGTCTTCTGTTTTGGATGGTAACTTCTGTTGTTTCTAGCTGATGTAATTTATACAGAAGGTGTGGAATTGCTCCTTCTATTCAGCCTGAAGAAGAGTGCTCTGTCCTTCTGCTGGACGTAAGCAGCTACAGAATTTATGCACCGTGTAAAATACTGCCCTGGTGACAGCCATTAAAATTCTTCCAAAACAACCGTTTTCTCTTTTTCACTTCCTGTTCTTTACATGCAAATAAAAAAAATAAATCCTGAAGCACATTTTGTTTAAAACTGTGCCAGAGTCCCTAATGTGTCTCTAATCTACAGATAGAAAACTTTTTCCATATAGCTTTTTAATGTGCTGCGTCTGACATAACATTCCAGTATTGCCACATCTTGTAAAATTCTGTCTGTGATTGCATAGGTTTGTCAGGACTAGCTGATTTCTGCTGTAATCTTCACTTGCCTCCTAATATACGTAAAATACAGTACGAGTTAGCGCAGGCAGTCTGTTGCAGTTTGGACTGCTGCTTCTTAGAAAATGCCACTGGGACTTGGGCTCCGGGAGTAGCTGAGGTGATGAAGCCACTGGCAGCTTGCAGCATGACTACTTTCTTTTTTTGTGTTGTCGTGGAAATACAAGCAGGCTTCCTTCACTAAGAAAGAAATCAAACTTCCTTCTTTTTCAATCTCTTTGTCGCTTTAATTATAATTTATGAAAGGGAAGCATTTTACCTGCATTGAAAACCAACCAGCAGAGGTTGCCATTGATTTTTCTGTTACCTCTTACCTGCTTAGCAGTATCCAGATTTCTCGGACAAGACCTGAAATATTTGGCTGACACAAGTGCTCGTTCTCGGAGTTCGGCACTCTCTGCGCTCGGAAATGGGTGCTGCGGTTTTATACAGCGGCTGGCTCTGACCTGTGAGCAAGGTGACTCAGCGGTCCCCGTAACATTTGGAAGCTTCAGTAGTTACCAACGTTCAAATCTGTACTGAGCAGAATGC